TAACTAGGTTTTATAATATGAAATTCTACTTTTGTATTTATTGTGATGTGAAATATTATTACTAAACGTAGTTTATAACTTAGATTATGCACTAGATGTTAAATATAAATGTACACGGTCTTAAAAATGGTTTAGATTTTGCATGCTTTTGATCACACATTTTTAGTAAACATGTCTATTCATTCAATGCAAAAATCTGATAAATTTATAATGTATTCAGTTTATAATAAGCTTATAATTTAAACTTAATTAATAATCAAGTTTATAACTTTACAACTTTATAAGTGTTTGATTTGATATTTACATTAATTTATAATGTAAATAAAATATATACTTATTTACTTACATATAAAAAAAAAATAACTTTCATCCTTCTAACTAAAATCCTTCTACAACATAAAACAGATAACTAATATACAATAGGCTGAGGTATAAACTGCCTGGTCATGTACTCACGCTTGATGGTTATATCAAATTAAAAAATGTCTAACAGAATCTGATAGATAGATAGATAGATAGATAGATAGATAGATAGATAGATAGATAGATAGATAGATAGATAGATAGATAGATAGATAGATAGATAGATAGATAGATAGATAGATAGTTCTTGACATTTTAATAAGCTAAAATATATCGTTCTGCAAAATAAAACTGAATACTAACAGACTTGAGGTGAAAATGGTCTGTGAGTCATTTATTCACACTTGAGGGTGGCGTGTTGAATATTAATATGTCAGTGTCACATTCCCAGCAGTTGGACGAGTTCATCTTTTACAGGTGTCCGAGCATCATCATCATCATAAGGTATACAGTAGGTATATCTCTTACCTTTGCCGGATCCCCCAGCAGCAGCAGCAGTGCTCGGTGTCTCCTCATCGCCCTCAAACAGCTGGTTGACTTCTCCCTGGATGTCACCGGTAGTCACGGTAAACCTCTGGCTCATGCTGCCGACGGTGGCCTCAGCCGGACGGACTGACGGGGAATGAATGAACGCGGCTCCGCTCTCTTCACCGGAATCCGCCGCCGGTGATGATGCAGATGTGCCCCGGAGATCTGCGAGAGGAGTTGCGTTTCGTTAATAAAACAGCGTAGATGTGTGTAGCGTGCAGGGTTGAGATGTGCGTTTTATTGTTCTTTGATAAAAGGCATTGAATGAGTCGCGAGCGGATCATCAACCGGTGTCTGAGACTCGCTGCGTATCCGGGTCCTAAAGCCCGCGACCGATCCATCAATCAATTGATTGAGCTGTAAAATCATTAAACGCACACACTGAATAAAATATTCATTTGTTGTTTGTTTTTAAGACAATTTAGGATTAATGCTAATTAACCTTCCTGTCCTGTGCGGGTTATATCTGACCGGTTTACAACTTAAAACACTTCAAAATGTTGTGTTTTATGTCTGATTTCCTCAAGGCTTTATGATGTCCTCCACACTATACATCAGTGGTGTCCAAACTCGGTCCTGGAGGGCCGGTGTCATGCTTAGTTTAGCTGCAACTTGCTTCAACACACCTGCTAGGAAGTTTTAAATATATGTAGTAAGAGCTTGATTAGGTGGTTCAGGTGTGTTTAGGGTTGGAGCAAAACTCTCCAGGACGCTGGCCCTCCAGGACCGAGTTTGGACACCCCTGCTATAAATGGACATATCAAAGTGATGACCACCTCTTTTATTGAATTTTGAGTGTTTCAGTCCACATTGTAACACCTGTGTCATAGTGACCGCCTCAGGAAATGAATGCAGTGGCGCCCCCAGAATAATTTCCTTAGGGATGGCCAGATGAGGCCACACCAAATCTTGGGGTGGCACACACAAAAAAAAATGTATTCAGTGTAAATGTTATATTTTTGTTTTTGATAAATGCCACATAATTTGGTTTTAATTCATTATTCTTAATTTGCAATTTATTAAAAATCAATAATTTAGTTTAAAAACACTTTTAAGTAAAGTTATTTTTCATATACTTTTGTACAGTATACAGTACATGCCATATCAATATGAATTTAGCAAAAAACTGAACAAACTGAAAAAAAAAATCACTCAGACTCACAATATCATGTATCCATATTTTTTGAGCCACAATATTATTAATGCAGTATTTTTATTGACGTACCTCTTTGCAAAATACATCCACAAAATCCCAAGTAAGTCAACAAGCAAAACAATGGAGGTGCTAAATAAGCTAGATTTAAATAAAACGTGTACCATCTCATAAACCCAAAATTGTGCATAAAATCCCACAAACGGTACTAAACAACTCATGTTACAAGAACTTTACCCTTAATTTTGTTTTTAAATGTGTAGCAGCCTAATCAGTTAAAGTGAACTTTCTGTAGAAAAGCGAAAACATTAAACAATGCAAACCAAAATTAGATTAGATGTAACTTTGTTGTCATACACATGTACAAGTACAATCCAACAAAATGCAGTTTCAGTCTGACCAGCAGTGCAATTGCAGGATACAGGTATAAGCTATAAAGTGCAGTTATAGAAAAACTATAGTGATATTTACAGATTGATGTATGAACATTATATACAGGTTGTATTAGCTGAACAGATTTACAATAAATGATGATATGAATATATGTACAATAAATGAATATATGTAAAGGTTGCTATTAATAATCAGTAGTGTGCAGATAGATAAACATGATTACAAATGTAAAATTCTGACAAAAGACCTAATTCTGAGCCGTGCTAAGTAATGTTAACACATTTAGTATTTAACTAAAAAGGTTAACAGACAGCACAGAATAGCTCCTTAAGTGAAGGGGCAGGGGGAGGGGCAGTGAATCAGCTACATCGGTGGCGCCAATCAATCCACAATAATTTAGTGGCTGCAATTTATATATTTAATGAAATATTGTGAATTTCCGTAATTACATTTAAATTAATAATATCAACAGCAATCAAATTGGGGTGGCCACAGGGGTGGTCAGAGATTACACAGGGGTGGCCGTGTCCACCCCTTGGAAGGCGCCCCTGAATGAATGGGACTATAATCATCCATCAGACAGAAAACATGCCATATACTGTACACCACCCCAACCCATATTTGTATCGTCAGTGAAGTAATTTTATGTCTAATTATATGTTAAACACTATTTTGAGACATTGTTAGCAGCTAAAAAAATGTTGGTTTTGAAAACTGTTTTCTGTGCTAATTTAATAGCAGTTAAAGGGTCATGAAACCCCCCCTCTTTCAGTTCAAGTCTTTTTAAATGCTCCATGATGGGCGTGGAGCGCTGCGGGCAGAGGGAGGAGTAGGAAAAGAGAGGAGTGAACAGTTGTTGTCAGTTGGCTCACAAAATTAGACACAAACCTTGAGACCCATGTTTACAAAGTTAAAATGCAAAGAAATAAACTAAAATAAAATAAAATGTATTTTAAATGCACAAACCTTGGGTCTCACAGCTTCGGAGCTCAGAAAAGCACGTGCTCTCATGAATAATTAAAAAGCAGGGTCTTCTCATAGGTCAAGAAAACTCATATGAATGATGATAAACCGACGCGTCATCACTCCACTAGCAGATTCACGCTACGTCACCCATTTTGATCCCACCCCAAAAATGATTTCAAACCCAGAAGATGAAAATAGCTTAAAAAAAATATCCATTTTCCCCCACAATTAAAGCTGACAGGTGCTAACGTTGTCTTATGATGCTCAGCACACACAAATCTGTTACAAATCTTTAAAAAAAAAAAAAAAAAAAAAGTACTCTGGGGTTTCTTGAACCTTTAAAACGCACCAGTCAATTTTAACTGCGAACGCTAAAGTAAAGGGCGGGTGGAGAACACGGCAGGAGGATGAAGGAATTTTTACAATGTAATTTTGTTTTTGTTTTTTTGCTGAGCTAATTTGTTAAATTGACTTAAAGGAATGCCCTGAAAGTGCTGGGTTCCACACACTGAATGAATGTTCATCAGTGGTTCCACACAAATCCTTCATGTTGTTCCAACACAAATCAATTAAAGTTCGCTTAATCGTTTTTACAAATTTAAAAGGATTTAACATAAAATTATTAAGTTCTCCCAAAACAAATTTAAGAATTGTGTTGTTTCAACTCATCTTTACATAGTTTGAACAAGCAGCAAGTCATGTTTTGAGTGGAGTTCACCGCAAAACGAAAGTTCGATCGTTATTTACTCCAGTGGTGAACACGAAAAATTATATTCTGAAAAGCTGGAAACCAGCAATTATTGACTTTATTATTCATTCATTCATTCATTCATTCATTCATTCATTCATTTTCCTTCAGCTTAGTCCCTATATCCGAAATGAGCGGCCAACTAGCATATGTTTCACACAGCCTATACCCTTCCAACTGCAACCCAGTACTGGGAAACAATTTAAGCTACTATTTTTGACATTCATCATAAAAAACTTTTTATGATTTTAAATCAGATTAGTTATCTGAATCCACCTAATGTTTTGTAACATTTACTTAAGTAATAAAGAATTTATTTCCGTGATTTGAAAAAAAAAAAAAAAACGTTTTAAATGTAGAAATATTTAAATATCATTTTAAAAAATGGCGGTGTTATTTATAACATTATAAACATATTTATAAATTGGTCAAAATTTGTATGAAAATATTATAGGAATATATAACTTTAAAAGTCATGGTAGTGCTATTTGATTTATATTAAAGATTTTTTATATTTATGGAAATCATAATTATAATGAAATTGCCCAATGCAGTCCATTACAAAGTCCTTATAAATTCTGAAACATATCTGAAATACATAACACTGTGGAGATAAATATGCATCGGATGCTTTAAATTTGCAGCTGCACGGAGACAATTTCCTAAAATTTTGCTGGAACCATTTAATGTATACTATATAAATGCTTTATTGCATTACAGAAAATTCTGTAACATTCTGTCCGATGAGTTTTTATTATTATATTAAAATGAACAAGAAACAAATAAGATTCTAAAATCAAAAAAGTCAAACTCAGCAGGTCAAACTGTAAACACTAGGTGGCGATAACAGCAGCTCGGCACGACTGAGCCTCCTCAGAAAAGCAGAGGAGTGAATGCTGGAAGTTCCTCATATTCATTCATCTGTGTTCAGGATGTTTCTTTGCACGTTTAGGAACTCGAGTGCAAATGATAATAAACTAGATCTGACGGAAACATCTGTGAACTTTGAACTGACAAACTGCTGACATTCCACAGCTGCCTCATGTGACCGAGTGCAGTTCAGTCAGACACGAACAGACCACACAGTGGATTAAGAAAACGACAATGACCAAATTAAACAGTAAGTTATCTATCTATCTATCTATCTATCTATCTATCTATCTATCTATCTATCTATCTATCTATCTATCTATCTATCTATGTAGGAAAGTCCTATACAGGGTTGCAGTTCTTATGAGTATACCCTAGATGGCGCACCTCTCTAATTTGACCGACATTCACTACTTTCGCTTTCAAGAGCAAGCACATGGCAAAAATCACTTGTGAGGCACGGTGAGAAGGCAAACATCTATCCTGTGTGCGTTCATGCCAAGAAAGTAAGTTTATTTACTGATTCCCACCAAAAATATGGGTAATACTTATGTTAATACTGTTGTAACAATATCTGTAATGTTGTATTTCACCTTTAATGCATATATTTGCATAATCTTATGTTATATGTTAATCTGTGTTGGGAAGCTAATATGCTTGTCCAAACTATTTATGCCATAGTATGTTTCCTTGTTGGATTAATGTTTATATTTTGACACATGGTGTAATGTTGAGTCATTTCTAAACACTACAGTTTGACAGTGAATTTATTCCTATACCTAAAGATTATTTTCTGTTGTAATCTAAATGGAAATGTTTGACTGTTATTTGTTAATTGCTAAACCTGTAATATTTTATTGATACTTAATTTGTTCTATTTTATGTTCCAGACCACACACACACACACACACACGTACTCACTCATTAAAGCTATTTTTGGATGAAACTCTCCGAGCCCTTTACTCTCTTACCGGAGTCTCCAGTTTTCAAGGACTATCAGAACATTCCAGAGGTTCCACCTCAACAAATGGTCCTTCGAGCCGGAGGATAGTAACCTTGAAGACAACATGCAATCCGAGCAGGAGGTCACACCAACCATTGTGCAACCTCGTACTCAGCGGGAGAGACATCCACCAGCCTACTTGGGTGATTATGATGTTGGATATCAACCAAGCCAGATTCCAGCTTCCAGTGCAGGGGACAGTAATACAATGCCAGAAGCTGCCATTGCATCTGCACATCCAGATGAAGCGCATGTGCCTTGCCGATCATTATCAGCACATTCATCTGCAAAGTCACGTCAAAGCCGATCCAGGACAAAGACCACCAGAAGCAGTGTATCCAGCCGTTCGACAGCTTCGCAACTGACAGAGCTACAGGCAGCTATTGTAGAGGAAAAGCTGAAAAGTATGGAGCTAGCAGAGATGCAGAGGCAGATGGTGGAGGAGAGCAAAGCTGAGGAGCAGTGTGAGTTCCTGGATCAACAAGCACGCTTAGCATTATATGAGAGAGAAGAATTACTCAGAGAGCAGCAGAGGAGAAGTCATCAGTTAGATGAAGAGGCTCGTGCAGCACACAAGACCAAAGAACTGATCACCAAACAGCTTGAAAGACAGCGTCGTATTAAGCAGAAAGAGATGGAGCTGGAGAAAGCGCGTCTTGTTGCTTCACTTCTCCGAGAATCAGAGACTGAGAATGCAACTGCTATTTCACAAACTGAAGGTGAACTTGACCCAGAGCAGGTACAGACTGATACACTCCGTTTACCAAAGGTAGAGGTTGCTCACCATACACTACGACAGTTCCCTGATAGTACACAGCACTCTACACCACACACATATCAGAGTAAACCTGTTACTGCTCAGCCATTAGTTCCACATTCAGTACATGAGCACATTACCTCTCATGCTACATCCAAATCATTATATGTAGAACCAATGAATGTTGTTCCTTCTCCTATCTGTTCTGTTGCAGCACCAGGTGTGTTTCCCTCACAGGTAAAATTACATGTTGCAGATGTTTGCCCTCCTTTAACCGTACAGCCATCTTTGTCCTATGAGAGACAAACATATAGTCAGTTAGGCTCTAACCTTCTATGCCCAGGTGCATCATATGTGTCTCCGGATTCAACAGCGACCAGCTATGCTCAGCCACCTCACCAGTCAATTTCAGTACCGTCTCAGCCCACAATTAATCAGTCACAAAATCCTGTTAGGCAACAGCAATTAAGCTCACAGCCATTACCCAGGCTAAATGTTCCCAGTGTACAGCCACCAGCCCCAGCCAATGTTATGGATATGCTAATTGCTAATTCATATGGTATACCTAAACCAGCTCTGCCTACATTTGAGAGTGGTAGGGAGTCAGACTTTGCCCTACTAAAAATGGCATTAGATAGTCTCATAGGCTGCCACGCTCATCTCACAGAGCAGTTTAAGTACCAGGTACTTCTAGACAGAATAAGACTACCCAGTGCATACAAATTAGCACAAGCCTATATGCATGATCCTACACCGTACACTACTGCATTGCAAGCCCTCCAAGACAAATATGGGCAACCTCGTCAACTTGTACAGAGTGAACTTGGGTCCATTTTGAACTCTCCACCAGTTAGAGTAGGGGATGCCGAAGCCTTCGATAATTTCGCTCTTGCAGTACATGCACTTGTAGGTATGCTTCGTTCTTTAGAAGGGGAGAATGGGTACGAACTGAAGTGTGGCTCACATGTGGACAGACTTTTAGTCAAATTGCCGGCTACCTACCGAGATGGATTTGTTGAACATTGTCTCAGTCGTGGTATACTCGTCACAGGGACAGATAAAACATACACTCTTCATGACTTAGCAGCATGGCTTCAGCTAAAATCACAGGCGAAGCGCATCTCAAGTAGAGCTGTTGACATGTTTCAAGAACAGATAAAGCCTCAAAGGAAAGGGAAGAGTAGCCATACATCATCATCTTCTGTGTACTACAACATTAGTAGCAGTCATGATAAAATGCCCCTTACCACTCTGCCATGTCGTACCTTTCCACAAAAGCCCAGGGACAAACCAAAAGCTTACTGTCCATACTGTAATACCCGTGAGCATTATCTCAGTATGTGTTCCAAATTTAAGTCACTGACGACTACCCAGATCACAGAATGGATCAGAGACAAAGGTTGTTTCCGCTGTGGACGCAATCACAAACCTGAGGCTTGCACCCTCAAAAAGCCCTGTAATATATGTCAAAAGCAGCATCTTACTGTACTACATGATGTAAACATGCAGGAGCCCAACAAGGTCCTTATGGTCAGTACCTCAGCAGACACCATTTATCTTGACCGTCCCAATCGTCCTCAACAGGTCATGTTAAAGGTGGTCAAAGTACTCATACATAATGCCAGACACTCACTAGAGGCTTATGCTTTGCTAGATGATGGTTCCGAGCGGACAATTCTCCTCTCCTCTGCTACACAATACCTCCAGCTGCATAAAAACCCTGAAACGCTCTCATTGAGAACTGTCCGACATGAGGTTGTTCACCTGAACGGGTCATCTGTTTCATTTGAAATTTCACCCGCTGACAATCCTAGACAAAAATACAAGATCCATCATGCCTTTACGGCTGATGAATTGGGTTTCTCAGAGCATACTTACCCAGTGAAAGTACTGATGAAAAAGTACAAGCATTTGCGAGGGTTACCAATACCAGAAATTGATCATGTGCGGCCCGTACTACTAATCGGTTCCGACTTTCCACATTTGCTCATTCCCACTCAGCCTGTGCATATTGGCCCAGCGGGTGGACCTGTAGCAATCTGCACCCCGCTTGGTTGGACACTCCAAGGTCCTGCCAGCCTGATGCATGTTCCTAGTGATGAGCAGCGGTGTCTCTTCACTGCAGTGGGACCTACCCACTTAGATCTACAGAGACATGTGGAGAAATTGTGGCAGATCGACACTTTACCTTATATCAGTGAGAAAGCAGCCACTCGATCCAAGCTCGATCAACAAGCACTTGAATTGCTCGAGCAGCAAACTGTAAGGGTGAATGTAAATGGCACAATGAGATATGCTACACCACTTCTCAGGCGGAAAGACAGTCCTTGTCTAAAAGCACCCAAATCGGTTTGTCTTTCACTACTTCGAAGTACAGAACGGAGAATCATTAATGACCCCAATCAAACCCTGACATATTGCGAGGAGATTCAGAAACTTGAAAATGCAGGTTATGTAAAGAGGCTGACAAATGAAGAAGTTGAATCCTCTGCTGAATCATGGTATCTACCACATCACTTAGTCCACCACAATAACAAAGCCAGGCTTGTTTTCAATTGTTCATACCAGTACAGAGGACTTGCGCTTAATGAACATCTTCTTCCTGGGCCAATCCTGGGTCCTTCACTTCTTGGAGTCCTACTTCGGTTTCGTGAGCACACAGTGGCAATCAGTGGGGACATTAAAGCAATGTTCCATCAGATCAGACTTTTGCCAGAAGATCGCTCACTGTTACGTTTCCTTTGGAGGGACATGAAGAAGAACGAAGAGCCAAATGTCTTTGAATGGCAAGTCCTCCCATTTGGAACAACCTGCAGTCCCTGCTGTGCCACATATGCGCTACAACGACATGTGAAAGACAACTGTGTAGACTATGAGGATGTTCAAATGTCTGTCGAACAAGCATTCTATGTAGATAACTGTTTGCAGAGTCTTAACTGCCCAGAGAAAGCTCGCAGCCTAATTGACCGAATGCGTAGTCATCTGTCGTCAGGGGGGTTTGAAATCCGCCAGTGGGCCAGCAACATACCCCAAGTAATAGAACACCTCCCAATAGAAGCCAGAGCAGCTAGCACTGAACTGTGGGTTTCTGAGCATAGTTCAGATCCACAAGAGCCAGCTTTGGGTCTCCGCTGGAACTGTCTCACTGACCATCTTGGATACCAACACCGTCAAGTTCATTATTCTGAACCCACACTCCGAAATGTTTACAAGGTACTGGCTACGCAGTATGACCCACTTGGATATCTAATACCTTTCACTACGAAAGCAAAGATATTAATTCAGGATCTTTGGAACCTAAAAGTTGGTTGGGATGATGTTATCCACCCAGAAAGCCTGCGAATACAGTGGCGCCAATGGGAGGCTGAACTGGCTAATTTGCACACCGTTGAAATACCCCGAGCATACATACCACCATGTGCAGACACAGAAGGCATGCAGAGAACCATACATATCTTCTGCGATGCCTCTGAACGCGCGTACGGGTCAG